GTGGCTGTTTTAAGGTCGTTCTTGTGCATACCCCGCACCTCCACCAGATGTCACGTAAGAGTGAGGGTAGCCCGAAGACAGGAGACCGGGAGGCTCGTAGAAATAGAAGGGAATCCGTTTATTTGGTGGAATCGCGACAATTAAAGGAAAGTATAGACATCGGCTTAGCGGGTGGCGAACAGCGTATGGCCGTCGGGGAACAGAATGCCCCACTGGATTGCAAGACGCATTCACCGTCCGAGATACAGTCGTCGTAGCATCTGGGGCTATCTCGTATTCAACGAATGGTTGACGTGCGGGCCGCAATCTTCGCAGATGAATCGCGGTGCATCCTGGACCACAATAAGGCCACCTGCCCACGGTATCGGCCTGCGCAACACTATCCGCAATACGCTTCGCGGAAATATCTCATTTAACACCCTCTAGCTCCTCGAATAGTACAGCTAGACTGCCCTCACTAGATAAGGTTTTAGCGTTGAACGTTGCCAAGTTCAGGTTCCAATGGGGGCCTGTCCGGATCCAGAGATTCTTAGCACCCTCTGCTGCGTTGCAGATCTTACTGCCGCCGTGGTCAGTTGCTTCACAGCTGCTGGGGACTGAGGGCCGTGAGTTATTTGACGTATGCATTTGGGAGGTAGTGGCCAGATACTGCACCAAGGTGACCAATCCTGCTCAATTGAGGGAGTGCGTTCCCGGCGGTGGTTACCGGTGAGGCCGCACCCCAGGCCCCGTAATGCAGTTTCATCACCACGCGGATTTTTTTTATGCGGTCGGGAACTGTGCGGGCACGGGATTTGAACCACAGACCATTTGCATGCGAGGCGAATGCTCTAACCACTATGCCATCGCTGCTTACCACGAAGTATCTACTTTGTTTGCTATGAGTAACGCTGTGCATACGCGAGTAATACGAAAGGGTCGGGTTTGAGCTTGTCTTTATTTTAGCATCGTTGTCATCATCATTGTTATCATCAACCTAATTACACCCACACTAAAACAAAAGCCTCTCCCATATTCCGCCAATCAAGAGGGTCCCGTGTTTTCTGCTCTCACGTTATACCTTCAAAATTATGTCACCTGCTCACCTTAATGAATTATGATGGACATAATTTTCCCATCTCCTCGGTCGCTCAAACAATCTCTCACATTCACTATGCATTCATCTGTAAAGAGAGAAATAAGCAAAAAGGAGAGACAGGCAGGTTAAAAATACTCATTGTTGGCCTAGTTGGTATTTGCTTAGTTGGCACTTGCTTCATTGCCACTTGTTCTTGTCGTTGAGTGCTTCTTTTCTTTATATGTGTTATTTGCGGCCAAAGCATGTCAGTAGGCAGGTTAATCTAGAAGAACTGGTAAGCTTCCCTGTACAAGGGTGGCAAATGGGAGTCGCAAAGTGGCTAGAGATAGAGAGAGAATATAAATTAGGAAAAACATTCACATGTACACATATGCAGGGCGTTATCATCACAGTCGTTTGGAGAGACTGGTTGGACGCAGGAAGCGCAGGAGCGTCTTGACAGCCTTCTTCTGCAACGTGAAGTCCTGTTGTTAGCGCAGGATTATTTCTTCCGAAAGAGTAGGGTTGTCCAGTTGTTCTAGTTATTGCGGAATGACTGTCTCTGTGAGCAGTACTGGGGGAATTCGCACAGAATATACCAAGTTGTTTTGCCACTACCGCAATGCTCACATACTGCAATGAGGTTCGCGAACGCATTGGTAAATGCGATACCCAATCATAACCTGCACAGCATAGTAGCGTGTCGTTGGCCAAGTCCAGAAGGAATTTGAGGTCTGAGAGTAGGTTCTAAGGTACATATTCGTGCATGCGGGAAATTTGGTCCAATTCGTTGCGGTGTGGTGCGCTCGTGAGCAAGCATTCGGAGTTTCCGTGCAGCGTCAGTTCTGGAGAGCGGAATTCTGGAATGATTGGCAATGAACGGGCCGATCAAGCATCCCGTTTTAGCCATACTGAAAGCAATCAAATATCATTGATGTGTAAGATATAAGAAATTTATATGAGCGTTATGTTGGGTTTTTGTCTTTGACCGAAGTATATTGTACAAAGTAAAGGAAGATGAAGGAAAGAATCAGCTGATAGGCGCGCGATTGTGACAATGAGCCATTGTGATTCTCACCTGAGGTTGTTCCTCCGTGATTGCGTTTATACCGAAGTCACTGACCTCGTAACAATATACTTGAATGAAGTGCGAAAAATAAGAAACCCAGACAGTTAGCTCTACACGGCCGTGTTTACACCTCACTAAATTTTAATACATTGTGATACATAACCTGCTCAACCTCCGCATATACTCGCCCCAAACAACAACCATCTGCTCTGTGACATTAATCACTCATCCAGTCTCTGCACTCGAGATTAACTGATATGTGCAGAAGATAAGAAATCAGGTGACCTATGCACGCTGCTTCAAGTGCCAAAGCTGTCTGTATCAAGAGATCACTCAATCTTTGCCAGTCGACATAAACAGTTTGCGCGTAGGCGATACGAGTATAAAAAGTTTCTAAGCTATGGATGTGCCGTGAGTTGTGCGTTCTTTCGCGGAAACAATAGCCAATGCTTCGGATGCTGTAAATGTATTTAGTAACCTTAACGTAATTTCTGCACTTTCATGCGTCAACAGGAAACTATGCACACAAGTGTTATTCAAAATTCCTGAAATTCTTAAGGGAAAGTTGACTTGTACATAGCTCAATATGCGCAATCACCAATATATCACTTCAGTTCAGCTAGAATTCATCACATACACTGGGCTTCTGTCTCTGAGGTCAGAGCGTGAAAATATACATAGCTGTAATTGCCAGAAGCAGTCTACGAACTTTTAATGCATAGTTTTTTTGAGGCAGCATTCATCATACGCGATTGGTGCCTATCTTCGAGCTAATACCAGGAAAAGTAAACCCTAGAGAAATGTCAGACGAGGCTAAAAGAATGATAACAGAGAGTCTAATTTCCGAGAACCAACAGCTTATATTCTTCTGTAGTGTCCCCCCTTTCTATGTTCCCCCGTCGCCACGTATTTGAATATAAAGGAGCGTAAGACTTTAGGCACACAGTAACCAAAAGGCCCGGGGACCAACTAACTTTATGTATAACGGTGACCGATAATCATGACGGACAAACACAAGGACTAGTTGTTAAGAAGACATCAGGTTTCGAAGAATAACAGCGTGTGTAATCACCCCCTTGGTAAGTAGGCACCGTTTGTGTACTGACATGTGGCCGCAATGAAGCAGATTTACATACGAAGTACTGGAGTTCCCGACAAGCGCCAACTCCTCACAATATTGAAAGACTTGGAATGTATGGTACACTTTGGCTTCCAGAAATGATCATACTGATCGTTGACAGCAACATAGGAGGCGAAAAGTCACAAAAAGTTTAATAGAGTGTCTTTCTTGTCATATGGTGGAAGAGGCGACAAACTATCACAATCAAAACGTCTCCTTCTTTCTGCCTCTCTCTCGATCTCTATGTCCGTCCATCCAACCATCCGTCTGTCCGTCTGTCTGTCTGTCCGTCTGTCTGTCTGTCTGTCTGTCTGTCTGTCTGTGTGTTTGTCTGTCTGTCTGTTTGCACGTCTGACAAGTAACGCGTGACAAGGTTAGGCTACGGCGAGCTTCGCCTGTCAAAACAGGAGGACTTTTCTTAGGCCCGAGAGCACGCAAAGTATGTAACAGATCGCTATGCTATATGGGGTTTGGCCTACGTTACGCAATGCGATGGTGACAGTATTCGACAGGGTATTATCATCGGGGTCCCTAAAAAGCACCACATCTAATACGAATGAATACTTGTCACTATATGTTGGTCACACCCGTGTGAACAAAATGATGGAGTAGGCTATGTACCGCGCTCAACGGATAGGTGACACGACGTAACAGCTGTGGAATGAGAGGTGTTTCTAATACAGTCAATCAATTTGAGGACAGCTGCGGCAAGTTGAATTCGCCGAGAGAAATCGAAATATGAATTTCGTTATAACAAAATGCAATGGTCACATCCGGTTTCAGACAGTCTTACGGGGTATCAAGGAATATAGACTAACCGTTGGGGTAGTGTTGTGAAACTTAGTGCACAAAAAGCTCACCTTCCTTGAACATGTAATGCATTAGTGAGGTCTTCGGCAAGATCCTCGAAAGACTGCAGCTGAAACTGCCCTCCCTCTGCTCACCAGCACGCAAGCAGTTCACCTTTTTTAGCTTTTGGTTCAGTTATCGACGTTTTACGAAAAACTAATCTGTGGCATTGCTGCACACTTTACAGACTGATGTGTTCTCATGTCAGTTGTGAGAGAGAAAGTCTACGCCTTGAAGATCTCTAGGTGATCATGTGGTGACTCAGCAGCGGCCCTTTTTTCTCTCCTATCGATGAGCAAATATAGACATAGCCCTGTTTTTATCTGGGACTTCAGTTTTTTAGATATGCTGTCGAGTTCCTCAAGGACACAGGATGTGTTACTTATAAGGTGCTTTGCATGTTCTCGAAGCACCTCATTTCGAAAGGCCCGAAAAAAAAATACTGCGAAACTGTGGCTATTAGTCATTTCGACATAAAATGAAGTAGTATATGTTGCAAATAAACAGAGCACTGGCCCTCTAATTATTACTCATTTTCACGGCATCATCACAGTTTTATCCAATAAATTAGTAATATAAAATTACCAAAAAGTGATCCATGCAATGTTAAAAAGGCACTACTTTCTTGAACTATGAGAATCGGACAGTGTATTGCGAATGTCACCCTTGTAAATTTTTATGTTATCAAAGACCGCTTAATTTAATATTTATCTTTATGGCAACTGCAGGTTGTGCAAAACTGGATATGGCTGCAGTTGATGCTTCATTGCTGTTCATTGCACTACTGGCGAGCTTTTGTACAGAAAGCTTTGAAGCTGGCGGATGGACTGAAGTCATTCCAGCAAACACACAACGGCATCGCGCACTAGCGGAATACGCCTACATGGCCAGAACGGAAGTGCCTGCTCAAGGCGTTACTTTTCTCGTAACGCAAGCCAGATGGAAAGTATGTTCAAAAGAGGGATTTGTGCATTCAATATTGTAATTTCGCTAATGGGCCAAACGTACTTGAGAAGAGATGAAGCAGTACTTAGCGTTTTATTACTTTCAGTTGCAATGGTTTTGAGCGGTAGACTGGTTTTCGTGAAGGTGTGTGAACAAGTGCCCTAATGAAGACCAGGCAACCAGTTGAAATCGTTGGAAATAAAATTGGGACAACCGCTAAGTTGTGTTTCGCTCTCTCTCATATATATATATATATATATATATATATATATATATATATATATATATATATATATATATATATATACATTTATGATGAGATATAACAGACAATAAGAAAATATTGAAAAGGAAAGTATAGGGAGATTTATTAGACCCTATTGTAATGTAAATGTCAAGAAAGGAAAGTGGGTGAAAAGATAACTTTCCCTAAGCATGAACCAATCGGTTCCTGCCCACGGCAAGTTTGATTATTTCAACATCCCTGTATTATGTTCGTGTTACTTTGGCCTTGCACCACGTGCGATTGATCACGCTATATTTTTAAATATGTTTCATCACATGCCACTCTTATTCTGTTTAAAACATCACGCAAGTAACGCTCTCCAAACGTGATAGTGTTCCCGCTTCCTTCGAACAAAAATCAGCAGTTGGCGCTTGTTCATATCACTTCTTTTTTTGCTTCATTTGCGCCTTATTCCTTCTGTTAAGCTAACACCGATGTTGATTTTGTCATCAATGAACATCATAAACAATACGATTATATAAAACATATGCACCTGTTCAACTGATGTTCATGCGTATAACATTTGTACATATGGCTAGCATTATTACGTATTACGTAAGGGCTCACTAAAAAATGCAGCAAAGTCACCTTCCATTCGCATTTTTCGCATGCCATTCTTCCCGAAGGTACGTGCATTATGTGGCCAATTTGTCATATGCGAAATGCAAGGGGTGTGATACCGGTGACATTTTAGCGCATTATTTCTTGGGAGGAACTGGACAAAAAGCCCTGAAAAAGAAAACGAAAAGGCCTTTGGTGGTAAATGCCAATGCCTTAGCTGACAATTGTGGTGAAGCTGACAGAGATACTGTTTGAACCATGTCATATCGAGCGTTCTATTTTAGGAGGCTTAGCACCCCATCTTCAAGCTCCTAAGAACTTACTTTATGAAGTAGGCCAGCAAGACGTACATGTTAAGCATCAATGCAAGGAGAACAAATGAATACATATTTCATGCTAGAGACATCCATTGATTTCATGCTGCAGTAACACGTAGCTGCATGCTTGGCAAAGTGTAGACACAGACATCTAAGTAAGCTTGTTGAGATCAGTGGTAGAAAGTAGTCTGTAGTCAAGCTGTGAAGTTCAACGTCTACTTTTTTTCAAATAATTCATGACTCAGTCGGCCAAAGCATATCAATATCTACCAGTGGTCCCCCAGCAAACAATCAGCATATCCACCCATCGTCCGTCCCTCATCCACCCATCATATGTCCACCATCCCCCCATCACCTGCCCACCACTCTCATCGCCCACTATCCACCCATGGTCTGTCCATCATTTACATTGTCCACCTAACATCTGTCCGTGACTATCCATCCGCCATATGCCCACCATTAGTTTATCCAGTATAATAATCCACAAAGCTGGTCAGTTCTGGGTATCATCATGCTCACCTTTTGGCAAATGTTTCAAAAGGACAACTTCGTGATCCAGCAGAAAGAGAATATGTGCTCTATTTGAAGGAATGTATGAGAGAGAATTTTTTTACAAATTTAGACGCAGGATTTGTACCCTTTCAACAATACCATACAGAATGTCACGCGAAATACTCAATTACAAGTAGTATATAACCCTATAAAAGTAAAAATGGAATGGAACGAAAAAACTTTATTTCGGTCCTGCAGGACGCGCTTAGCGCGTCCTGCAGGACAAAAGCCATAAATTTTTTGAACGAAGAATTGATGCCATATTGCTAGTGGCCATAGTAGTAAGAGACTTTTATATCTGCCGCATACTAACAGCTGAGTATTTTGACCACTTTGCAACCAGCTGCCCTTAGTCTACCCCTTTGGCGCCAATCCACATGAGCGAGGTGAAATGAAAGGGCTGGTTTGCGTAGCAGTTGCGCAGTAGAAAAAGCTATGTGACAGGTCACCGTATGGAGAGGGGCAGTTGGCATAGCATGATTCAGATCTTCACTTATGAACATATGAGCGTATTTACACCAGTGTTATCTGTCATGATAATGGTTATAAACGGTAGAAGCGTATCCGCAACAGCGTATTCATATTTCCAGAACCAAATGCTTTGATAGACATATTTCAGTGCTTGCTTTAATGACTTTCTGTCACTCTAGGTTCAGCGGGGAACAATGTATAACATCGCATTCATTGTTTTCTTCCAAAATACGGTATGTTCCTATTTGACATATGAAATGTGCATTTTTTCGCTTGTTCCAGTTTACAATGTGGTGTTATTACTTATTACAAGTTGCTTGTTCTATCATTTATTTTCTTTTTTAGTTGTGTAAATATGTGTATTACTCCGTGTGTATGTGTTTATGTGTTTCGATATATATGTGTGTGCGTATCAATAATATGTTCTATTATTCTGTTTTGTGCTCTGATAGGAACCGACAAACAACCTATATATGCTAACGGTCTAGCCAGTTTGTAATAATTACTTATGTTATTAAAAGTGAGACTGATTGATTGATTTCAGACACCCTCTTTTTCCGAAGCAAAGACGACACTAAATAAACGTAGAGTCTTGTTCAAATTCCTTAAAGATTTTGATTGTCATTGTTTAACATGAAATCTACAATAAGCAACATTTTTCTCGGCCTTGTTCTGGTATAAAAAAACTATTTACACCCGAATTGAGGTAACTTCTTTGAAACTTTTTCGGAAACCTTGCAAGTGTTACGTTCTGTCAATGTTAACATATTATGAATGGTTTAGGTCCCGAAACCACCATATGGGCTAATTACGAGTGAGACCAAAGTGTAGGACATAAGGAATTTTGGCTATCCGCTGTTGTTTGTCGTGCGTTGAAAACATTTTGTTTTACGTTTTGCTGACCTATAATTAGGCATCAATGCATGCACCTAACAACTGCGACTTAACGTTGACCTGGTTTTAAAGTAAATATTTTATGACTAATCGAAATAGGTGACTTTGAAAGGTTTATTGTTCTTCATTTAAAAGCCACAGATGCGGATATTTTTGCAAAGAAATAACGAAGAAAGGGTTGCAGGGGAGCGCAAATGTTTGTTTATTTGCGCAATACAGCCGTATCTGCCACTTCTAAATGAACACGAACCGACCAGCCCAACAACGTGCAATTGCTTAATAATACTTTTAGGACACTTACGTTAATGAGACGCAATAGACGATGAAACACATAAAGTACATGGAATAACGATGGAATAACGTTTTATAGTAAATAATATGTGTGCAAGAAAAAAAATTATAAGGGCGAAAGAAGAACTGTCCTTCAGAGGAGACCAAACCTTCTCATAGCGCTTCTGCTGCTTTACCATTGAGCTCAGACGGTGGCCTCATCTTAACTGTTTCATCTGGTGCACATGCATAGGTCGACGCACAAGAGTGTGGGTGGGGAAGAGGAAAGGGCGGAGCCGCTTGTTTTTTCACCTAAGGGGGGATGCAAAGTCAGCCCCATACACTAATATTGTTGGCAGGGAGGGACGACTGCGAAGACTGAGAGCTTACTGAAACTTGAGAGTTTATTTTATAGGTGCTAATGTATATGCATCTTTGAAAATTCAAACCACAAAAAGGTAGAAAAGGCGAAGCCAAATGATTGCGACCTGACTATACCGCAAATTCTTACCCTCATCGGTTAGCACGTTAGACAGTAAGCTCATGATGATGGCCAATTGAAATGAATGCTTAAACCTTCATAGGTTTTATGGGCGCGGCCATGACGTTGTCTGTGTAGTATGCGTGCCTCTTAGAAATTACGATTGATGCCACAATCGGTGCGCTCCTATCGCAGTAGCAACGACATCTCAAGGAGCAGAACAATAAGCAGAAGGCTAAAACTGGAAGTAAACTGATAATTTATTTTGACGAACATGACAAACACTTATTCTGAACAGGCACGTAATTTGCGCAGACATTTTCATTGTCCAGCCTGGGAAATCTACGAAGCGCTCCTAGTTCATTTTATCGGGTCATCGTGTTTCAGTGCATAAACCTTACGAGGATAATATTTATCTTCGCATTTGAACATTCCATATAGAGACTAGTTGGGACGTGTGTGCAGGGTGTCTCCCTTTTTCATGTTTTGTAGCGCAAAACATGAAACTCTCACCACCAGTACCAGTACTCTCTTCACCAGTACTCTCTGTCCGTTCTTTTTGTGCTTACAGATGGAAGTTTCGCAATCGTTTTGACCGCTCTATGATTTTTTCTTCTTTCTACAGATGCTTGAGAAATGTATCACCATAGTTGTGCTGCCTCCGATTCACCGACTACGACTGACAAGGAGGGTCATTAAATTTTGGTGTCGACCAGTGCCATAGCCGAAAATATGTTACTGCGAGAGGAGGCGCGACCTGGAGGGCATCAGAGCAGCAGCCGGAACTCTTTCCGTCATTAATACTTTGATTCGGTTATCTTGACATGTAGTAAAGTAAAAGATTCAACCTGGTCCTCGTTCACTCAGTATGGTCACGTGCCCGCCTCAGTGGTCTAGTAGTCAAGACTTTCAACTGTTGACCCGCAGGGCACGTCATTGAATTGCGGCTGTGGCGACCATAAAAAGCTTCGCCTTTCACGGGACACCACACCACCAACAAAAAAAAATTGAGCACGCGCACTGGTTGATAAACCCATGCGCTCCATCACAGTTGTGATCAGTTGTTAGCGACTGGAGTGAAGCATGTTGTTAGCGACTGGAGTGAGACCATCCTAGGAATGTGCGCTGCTGAGGTTTAATCACTTCAAAGGTTGAGATGTGTGGAAGAAAGAACAAGTTAAACTTCTACGGCAGAAATTTCGTATAACAAAGTATTTACTTTTTCACGGCACTGAAAGCGGAGTGATGCGGTCTATAGAGCTCAGTTACATTCGCCAAATGTTGCATCATTCTTGGTGTAACCATTTGAAAATTGAACGCTTCAGATTTCTCAAACAAAAAAAGGTTGACTAAAAACCTTTGCAATCATTTAGATAGATGTACATTTTAGAGAAGCCATATATTATGAGGTCATCAATGAAAGTGACAAACATAAATGGGCAAAGTATGGGTCCTTTAGGGATGCCTGAACTTATGAGGATAGCAGCAGATAATTTATTGTTGGCAAAAGCTGTGAAGAGTTTTGTTTTTAGGAATATTTTATTCAATATTAAGGTGCCGTGATTTATATGTAACGAACCAGGTCTTAGTAGCAGATGCCCATCAAGTATTTTGACAAATGCTTTTGCGAAATAGTAGCACATGGCCACGCGAGTCTGTCAGAATCAAAGCTACATGCAGTTAGTGAACAACATAGCTAGTTGTATCATAGCTGGCTTTTTCGAAAGAGTACTTTAGCAGATCTGCGGTGCCTCAGCAGCGACATGAGCCACATGTTAAAAAGGCTACGAGATCACGTGCACGGTTGAGATGCTTCCTCTCGACGAAAATGATTGAGCAGTTCAGTTCTGGTGGAGGCACTGAGAGTTGACATCACGGCGTTCGAAATTGGCCTGGTTGATCACTTTGCCAATGCCGGGTTGCTTCGGCACAGCAACCTATTAGATATGTCTCAAATGCACACAGTACCGGAGGCAGCTGCCATAAATATAGATCATCAGGCAGCAATCAATTTAGCTATTCATGTATTCCCAATCCGAGACACCTATACTAAAAATACCCGCAAAACATATTGTCTAACTACGCAAAGCTGTTGGAAAGAGCCTATCTACATTGAACGGTACGTAGCACGTTTCCTAAAACAGCGCTAAACCGAGGGAACCAAACAAGTGCTCTTAAGATTTTGTCCAGAAAACTTTGAATAATTAGTGCAGACACTCTGAACTTGACTCAGGAAAATGACTCAAGTATGGTTGAATACCACCCCTTGCCGCAAAACTCTGGAACCCAGTGTGTAGCTTTGCTATTGCTAGTGATTCGAGAATACACTCGACAATACATTACATCAAACAACAATGTTCTCCCTTTAGAGTGTTAAATGCAAGTTACGTGGTAATCTGTATTGTCTACGTCATTGTTTTACATGCAGTGCTCGCACGTATGCGCCGACTTGTCAGATAAAAGTGCTCATACACTTGAGTTTGTGCTCGTATTACTCAACTCCGCGAGTTATTTTTCTTAAGGCACTTTAACAATTATGAAAGAGTAACATACGGTACCAATGAATGAGGAACAATTTTGTTACCTAAACCAGTATATTTCGTTCTTATTGTAAGCAAATACTTTTGCGTTATTTAGAATACACCGGTGTACGGTGAAAATATTAGTACCCCAGAACTTTTCTAATTTATTAAATCTTTATTTTCCATACGACAAAAATGAATACCAATGCTCTGTTCTTATATCACCCTGGATAATAAAATATCAAGATCGGAAACGTTGGTGGACTAGTTTGCTGTTCAGGAGAGGAAAATGACAAGCTTATCTACATCTGCATGTTTGTGAAACAACGCCGTTAGCCAAGCCTATAAAACAGACCACAATATTGTTTGTCAGTATAATTGCGACTCAAAACGGCAGATTTGTATGTTGCATTTGGGAAAACAAGAACCAATTTACGTGCTGCAAAGATATATTCTTCGCTTTAGGTAGATGCTTCTTTTTGTGATGTAAAACGTTCTGACAAAGTGTCTTTACAGTAAGCATAAGCACTGAAGGAAACAGACCTCTAAATGCTTACCGTCAATTGCGGAACAAGTGATGCATTCATGTTTTGAGGAACTCCAAGTAGCCTGCCCAGTGGAGCAGAGGGGTGCCTTCTGAGAACAGAAACAAATTCAACCACATTACCAGATTAATCTCGCCCACAAACTAACGGCGTATTGTATGCGGTGTTCCTAAAAAGTCTTGTAGCTCTCACAAAAAGCAGCCTCAGGACAATGTCCCAACCGAACACAGTCGAAATGAAGTTTTATTTTAGGGACAAGAGTCGGCACCCGTAGACAATAGACGCCGTGGCTTTACTCAGTTGAAACTCCGTTGAAAATTTGCCTTCTTTACGTCACGTCCCTTATCTAAAGTGTGCATCTGTTAAGCGCTGTGCAATAACCTAACAACAAATGGATTCCAACTCGCCTAAGCAAATACCCTTATAATTCACGTGCCTAAGCCAGTTTTTTCTCTCCCATTCTTAAGCTTCCTAGTCTTTCGCCAAAGTTTGGATCTGCGCCATCGAATTCGACATACTAAGCATGGTCGGCTATGCTCACAAGCTTATCACTTGAGGGGAGTTTCGCACGACTCGTTCTCTCACCGCAAAATCTGTAATCAAGCTGTCGAAAACACAAAGCTCACTCAGCTGACACGGCCACGTTGGAGAAATATGTCAATTGCTAACTAGAAGAGACATAGTAGGGGCTTGTAGAAGAAACAACTGCGACAGTTCATGCTTGTCCTATGCTTACATGTATTACTTGTTCGTCCTTGTTCATCCTTGGGCACCCTTTCTTTTGAGGACCATGCAGCAAATATATAGCTGCTTCTATACTTCCAATGCCATTACATTTTTAATCAAATTCATTTATTCGCACTTCTGATTGATCTGTGACTGCTTGAGTGGAAGCACTTTTGATGATGAACTAACGCAAGTGATGTAAACAACAAAGGGTGCCAAAAGACTGGCGTTTAGCTGCTTACGGCTTCTTGTTTACGACCTCATAATGGAGGTCTTGCTGACGATTCTTTCGATGCAGATACTTGAGAGCCACCAAGGGAGCAGTGCGCTATGTTTAGAATGCAGTCACTAAGCAGAACACAAGTGATTCTTGAACCGATTGCTTGGTGCAGGCATTAGAGATCAGGATAATAAGTAGTATTGGAACGAATTCAAGCAGGAAAGCGTTTCACTAACGTGATGCATAAACGTGGTTTGAAAGAAAAGAGGGAGGACGAGTCGTGCTAATTTTACTCGAAAATCTTGGGAACTAGAATTTACCAGTGACATTTGGGGAGGCACTTTCTTAGGTGGGGGGCACTTGCTGGGAATGCCGTGGTGTATCTCCGTTAAAGTACCATCTATGAAGAGAAGCACCCATCAGGATCCGGAAACCTATTATTATGGCAACCGGGTTTCTCATGCCAGGATATGGCTACAGCCAACACTTCTGTGCTGGTCATCACATTGATGCTGAGCTTTATCAAAGGAAGCTCCGAAGTCGGTCGGTGGAGAGAAGACAGAGATCCGAACAGATTTGAGAATCAAGCCCTAGCACGGTACGTCTACAAGCACATGAGGCGTCGGCAAAGTACAGAAGGAATGCAGGTTCTCGTAACACAAGCCAGGACAAAGGTATGTAGCCAAAACGTGACCATTTATTTTCGAATCGGGCATAAATAAATACGAAGTGGCTTTCTCACACCAACTCACATAACTTTTTCCTACGCCTGCACGTGTGTGTGTGTGTGTGTGCTTTTCTTCCCTATATACAAAAATGACAAAAGAAAACAGGGGTGGCCGCAGCACCTCCAGGAGGTACAACGGGCTAAAGTTAGTGAAACATAAATGAAGAGGGAAAACCACACTAATATTTATTGAAGTTTGTTTAAAAAATAATAGGGAAAACCTATTACAGTTAAGGTGCCACACTAGTCAGTTTTTTTTCTAGGCTCATGAAAAGTGAAAAGTATTGAGTGTGTGACAATATATATATATATATATATATATATATATATATATATATATATATAAGGGAAAGAAGTGTATACCTAAGGGCTCGTTTTTTCGTGTTTTTAACACAATATTAATGAGATATAACAGACAGTAATGCCAAGGAATGTACAGGGGAAGTTATTAGAACCAATGGAATGTAAATAAGAAGAAAGAAAAGTGGATGAAAAAATTACCAACTGGTAATTTTTTCATCCACTTTTCTTTCTTCTTATTTACATTCCATTGGTTCTAATAACTTCCCCTGTACATTCCTTGGCATTACTGTCTGTTATATCTCATATATATATATATATATATATATATATATATATAATATATATATATATATATATATATATATATATATATATGTGTGTGTGTGTGTGTGTGTGTGTGTGTGTGTGTGTGTGTGTATATATGTATATATTGGAACAACAAAGAAGGAACCAGGCGCCACATAATGCGAATTGCGCAAGAAGTGGGGCATTGAAACCTCCAGCCGTTTTTAAAATCTTGATCTTATCCATCTACAAGCTGCGGAGCATACCCACTGTGGGGGATTACGAAAGATCCTGGCCGCCTAATTATTCCTTGTCGTCC